GTGGATTCTGTAACTACCCTTGGCCAGGTAGGATCACGGGCTATGCTCCTGGGCATGTGGTGCCAATGATTATGACTTGCAACTTGACAGTACTACAAGCAAGGCTCCACAATCTCACCTGGTTGTGGGAAGGGTATGGCCTCTGATTAAGTGGTGCTGCTAACTACGGTCTATACAGGGGCTACCCTATACTATGCTTCATAAGAAGGCAAAGGTAGAAAGCTAAGCTTTGTGGATGGGTAGAATTACTGGCTGGGTTATTTTCTTAGAAGGGGCTGCTGGCTTCACTCCATGTTTGGTTGGAGCTATTAATGTGTACCTGGTCAGGCTGGCCAAACTATGCTCCATGGTTGAGTGGGGTGGTAGGCTGAGCTCCATGACTAGTAGCACCACTGGCTATGCTTTATGGTCTGGTAGGGTTGAAGACTATGCTCGCCAGGCAGGGTGGCCCATGGTGTACTACAAAAGAGCCCTAGACTACGGGCTGAGCTATGTGGGGTGGCTAACTGGGCTCCCTAGTTGGACAATGTCCAGGATGACCTTGTGGAGGTACCACTTTTCAACTTAAAAAAAAAAAAAAAACCTTATACACAAAGTTTGAGATTCCCATATATTTCTCCTTGACTCCACTTCCCTTGCTTTCTTGGTCTAGGATCTTGGGTTGCAAGTTAGGCTAAAATGCATAGATTTTCATACTTTCACCATTCATTCTGAAAGAGCTCATGAACTCACTTTTCAATTTCATCTGAATTGTAAACCATATAGATGTGTTTAGTATTTGTAAGTAAGTACAACTTGGCTACTTATTTTGTCAAATTATAGTTATACTATATTCAGGTAAATAGTCAAAATAGCTATTTTCTGTGCTTTTACATTATATGGTATAAGATGTGAGATTTTTTTCTGTGAATATTCCAGATGAATTTCAAAAGAAAGTAGCTTTGTACACATTTTGTCTATGTGAAATACTGACGTAAGTATAGACTATACCCCAAGACAGTAAGTATATGTATGGGTTCATCAGTAGCTTTTTGTATTTCCATCAAATTTTACTTAACATCATGTACATAAACACTCATAACTTGCATTTTCTTTGCAAACTATTGATATCTATCAAGAAATAGCTCTTTATGCTTTCCAATGATTACGAATTGTCCCAATATCTGAATACATTTTAAAAACAGTATTTTCTTGGAAGCACATCTCTCTTTACAGCTACCATGCTTCAATTACTATAACTTATTACAAAGAGCCAGCAGTGCTCCGGAATCAGGTAGCTGGCCATTTCCTTCCGAGGGCATTAGCCCAGGTTTCCCCCCTTTTAAGCTTTCCAGTCTTCCTCAGTGACCCTTTGCACTGCTAGTTGCACATCATTTTAAGTCTCCCTGAATCACTCTGAATTAATCAGAATACACTTCTGAGGAAAATTATAGACTGTGACGAGGTGACAAGCGGCTACTCAGCCACTCTGCAGTCACCACTCCTATCATGGCTCCTTCAAGACACAATGTATTTTTTTTTAAACAACTGTTTTAATTATAAAGACTTGCTTAGGTCATGGTGTTTCTGGCAGAGCTGTAAAGTGGTGCAGGGCATCGCATGGCAAGGGACAGGGAGTACACCAATGTACATAAATGTATCTTATAAATGTATAAAAAAGCTATTTTAGCAGCTTTTTACATAGTGGTACTGAGATATAATTTACACAGTCTAAAGTTGACCCACCTAAGGTAATGAATTTTTATTAAGAATTTTATTTTATTTCATTATATTTTTTGTATTTTAGGGAAGGGTCTAAAGGGTATTCAGGGTCTCACTACTAAGTTGGACTCACAGTGTTCCACCTGTTTACAACCTCCAAAGTGCTGGGATTACAGGTGTGCGCCACCATGCCCAGTCTCAATTGCCATCTCAGTGTGCCCCGGGTGCAGGGCCGGCATGGCAGGCCTCGGAATTGAACCCCCGGCCCCTGCACCTGCTTGCAGGTGCTTTAATCTGCTGAGCTATTTGGCTGGCCATCACGAATTTTAAATAAAACTGTAATTTCCTTTTATTCCTATAAAAATCAGATCAAAAGTGTGGAATCATATCACAGGACTGTTTAAAACAACATTTAAGAGACTACATCAGTGTGAAACTATTAATAATTGTATATGTAAAAATAAAATTGGAATGCTCCGAAACTACTCATACTAAGAAAGCGAGACTGTATCCCCTTTATTGTACTTCTGCTTACGTATCACATTTATTCTCTTACACATGTTGCCCCATCTGCGCATCTCGGGAACGAAACTTTCTTGGTCACGACACTTGACCTTTTAGATAATGCACTGCATTCTATTCGCTAATATCTGGTGAGGAGTTTTGCATTTATGTTCACTAGGGAGACTGGCTTACAGTTTTCTTTCTTAGTTGGATCTTTATTTGGTTCTGGGATCAGCATGATATAAGCTTCCATAAATGAATATGGGAGTATTCCAACCCTTTCAATTTCTTTGAAGAATTTTAGCATTGGTAATATAATATCCTTTCAGATTTTGTAGAATTCAGCAGTGAATCCATCAGGTGCTGGGCTTTTTCAGTTGGTAGATCATTTATGACTGTGTCAATGTCATTTTCTGCTATAGAGCTGTTACACTTATTTATGCCTTCCTGGCTTAGTTTTGATAGTTTGTATACATCTGAGAATCTGTCCATTTATTCAAAATTTGCTAATTTGTTCGAACATAATTTTGCAAACAATCTTCTGGATGTCCACGATGTCTGCTGTGATTCTGCATTGATGAATCTTGCTTTTTCTTGGTAAGTCTGGCTAGGGGCTCAGATATTTTATTTATTATTTTAAAGAACCAGCCCTTTGTTTTATTTATTTACTGTTTCTAGTGTCAATTTCATTGACTCCCACTGTCATATCTGTAGTTTCTCTCCTTAATTTTAGGTTTGAGGCTTGTTCTCAAGTATGTCAAGCTTTCTCTTAAGTTTACACGCCTGAGCCCGCTCCGCTTTCATAATGTGCGCACTGTTGTGATGGATCTTCCTCTCACGACTGCTTTCACAGTGTCTCACAGGACTCAAGAAGTTGTACTGTCTTTGTCATTAACGCCCAGAAAATTTTAGATTTCTTCTTTTTTTCCCTCTGTACATAAAGTAAATGTTACAGACAGCTGTGAACATTGTTCTACTACTGTTACTAATATTCATGATAGTAGTAATAGTTGAGACTTAGATAGCTAGCACAACTTGCATAAGCCCCAATCTTAGATATGCTCCATTATTAAAATCATTATTAAGATCATTTTCAGATGATTAGAAGATTATGTTCAGATTATGTGGCAGAGTTTAGCTCCATCCTCTCAACCAGAGATAAAGTACTCCTATAAGGAGAAGGCAGCAAGACAAGTTTAAAGGAGAGAGTGTCTTAGTTACTCTTCTCTCCTGGATGGGACAAATACCGGATGCTCAAAATGAAGGAAGGAGAGGTTTATTTAGCTCACAGTTACTAGCGGTTTCAGTCCATATTCCACTGGCTCCAAGGCAGAGCTGTGCAAGGCAGAAGACAACCTTTCACGGATGGGGCAAAGAGCAAGAGCAGGATGGAGGGTAGCAGCAGCTCAAGCCTCTTGCTTCTCTTCCCACCTTACATTACAATGCAAATTACCTGCCTCAGGGCAGGTGCAGCATCCACACCTACAGTAATCAATCACAAACTCCAGAAACCAGCCCATGACTGCTTGAGGCTTTGGTGGGACACCTATAAACAAACCATAACAGAGAGTAAAGAGGAGAAGGCCTGTAGAGTGAGGAGGAGAACTTGAGCAAAGACAGACAGATATAGGGCCAACAGGGTGTGGAATTAGCTGAGTGAGCTAAGCTTTTAACTTCTCAAGCTGACACAATGTGTCAACCACTATAGTTGGAAAAACAGATTAAAGACAGAAGTGAAGCCAATTATCAGCCACACTCTGGCCCTACTGCACAGCTACAGGAATCAGATGTTCAATCATGACTAGACACCACGCAGTGTGCAGGCTGCAGGTATATGCTAAGTCCTCATAGTCCATCAGACTCATCTTAAGATGAATTTAGGGCAGTGCTTCTAAAATCGTTCACACACAACAATCACACATTTGTCTGTAAAACAGCCATCACTGGGTTCTACTCGACCCAGTTTTAAATTTATAGGTTTGGGGGCCTAGTATTATGTATTTTATTTAAGTGCAGTAAAAGCAGATGATTCTGATGCAGGTAAATACCAAATTGGAACGAAGTATATACAATGCCTACAAAAGTTCTAACATAGTTTATCCATATAATTTAAAGTGTTTTGATTAAAAACCATGAAACCAGAGCAATCCTAAACTCATCTATTGAAAGTACCTACACTCTATACCAATTTTGGAATACCATTATTTACCATCATATCACCTATTTAATAACTAGAGTTTGTATATTCATGTCATTATTAAATATTGTTGTACGTAAAATTTTGATTGATTGATTGATTGATTGATTGATTGTATATTAGGGAAGGGTCTCCACGGTGTACAGGGACTCACTACGAGATTGGACTTGTAGTGATCCGCCTGTTTACAGCCTCCCAAGAGCTGGGATCACAGGCGCGCACCATCATGCCCAGTCTCAATTGCTGTCTCAGTGCGCCCCGGGTGCGGGGCCGGCACCGCAGGCCCGGGATCGAATGCCTGGCCCCTGCACCTGCTTACAGGCACTTTAATCCACTGGGCTATTTGGCCAGACCTATTTAAGGAAATATTAACAATAAAGCAGAAAAAATCTAACTCATAAACAGAGCAGAAAAATTTTAATTCATAAAAATAAATCTATTATTGAAAATATCTGAACAATCTGACATGTGGGATAAAAGGAAAAGCTGGGGGTAGGAGGACAGAAAGAAGCATCACAGTATTATTCAAATTATCTGAAGAAGCCCACTGCCTACGCCAAAATAAAGTTTACATTAGTAAACCACAAATAATTCAAACCTTCACAAATACTGTGAGCTCTTCCACCTTCTCATTAGATAAGAGCAGTTTCTTCTGTGCGTCTTCTAGAACCTGCTCGCTTTGCCGCGCTAACCCTTGAAGCTGCTTCGATGCGGCTGCTTCTATTTCTGTGATTACAGATTCAGTCTCGTTGACTTTTGAGACTAGAAGAGTAAGCTTGAAATCCTTCAGAAGATAAAAAATATTACATAAAACGATCTGCAACAGTCAGTCACACCTGTCAGATAAAGGAGAGGCTGACATTATAGTCTATATTTATTTTTATTGGACAAAATTAATGATTGTTTTTGCCTTCATTAATACAGACCTAGCTTTAATGTTAAACAAATTCTTAGAGATACACATTGTTCAGATAACTGCATTTGCAGGTATCTGAAGTTTCTAAGTAGTTCATAGGACTTTGTAGGGAAAAAAGTGACAATAAAAATCAATGAGACATTATATTCCATCTCTAGATTGAAAAGACCTAAATACATACCTTTTTTTCTAACTCCTCTTTGGTTTTCTGATACATCTGTTCATACTGTGACTTTTCTTTTACAGCTACACTAAGTCTTTGCCTTAGTGAATCAATTAAAACTTTTTTATTAGAACCTTCTTCAGTTAATGTCTTCACCTATAGTGAAAGTATAGAAGTAATTCCGTCAGTAAGGTATTCTACTGTGGTATCAGGAAGCTCAAGCAGTCTAACTATTTATTGCTCATAAGTTGTATCAATGATTGTATTTGCAGAATGAAACTAACAATTTTTAAATCAGTAACAAAAACAAAATTACACAAAACTATATGAATACATGTAAAAGAGCAATAAATAACATATATATATTACATATTTCAAAGAATAATAGAAATTTTTTTCAGTTTAATGGCACCAAACACACATGATTACTTATACAAAGGCTGTAAAACTATATTTTAAATTAATAAATTTGAAAGAATTAGCAAAATTTAAAAGATAAAGATAAAAAGCCCAGAGGAAGTAATTATAGTTTATATAGTTGTATGGAGGAGAAACTGAAAAATCCATATGCATATGTCATGTTCATAGTATTTTTTCTCTTTAAACCCATTTTAGCTAACAGATACTGTCACTTTCAACTTTAACAACAACAACAAGAAAAATGAGGGAGATGTTCTCTCAAGAGTGGATAACATTTTAAAAAATGCCTAAGCTCAAATCACTTTATTTGTTACACATATAGTACTTTTTTTTTAAACAAAGGCTTTATAGTTTGATGAAATACATTTTACAACTAAAAACTAATATTCTTTTTCCATATACTATGAATTAAGTGTATAGAAAATGTATACTTTTTAAAGAACTTCTAGTAGTTAATTAGTTAACCGTTTTTTATTCTAAAATACAAATTTAAGTATATCCTTATCAATTATACTTTTAAAATACTAAATAAAACTTATCGCTATCAATTATAAATAAAATAGATTTAAAATACTGAACAAAATGTAACCATATATCCCAAAATAGGAAAAAGTTTTAAACTTTAATTTATCTTCTCACAGGATCATTACAAATGGAAAGCAAATGTATGAGATTTTAGAGTTGTGACTTTTAAACAAAAAAAAATGTACTTTTGTAGCAAATAACATAAATCTGTAACCATGCATATATATCCACTGAGCATTTCTATAAGATTATTCCTACTGAATATCTGAGATAAGAAGTGAACAATGGGAAATGATATTTTTCGTTAAGATAGAAACTGTTACCTTTTTTTCAAGACTTTCTAACATCTGACTAAAATTCTCATTACTTTCTGAATTTAATTTCTGACGAAATTTCAAGTCCTCTATCAAATGTCTTTTCATGGTTATATCCCTCTCCATTCGAGAAATCCTTGAAAGACACAAAAGATATTTTATTAGCAGAAAATACTTTCAACAATGGTCATATCTTAAATATTATCCAATATTATTCCTTCTGTTAAAATGCTAGTTTAAAATTCCTATAGTTTAAAATGTTACGTGATGTCAATAAAACTGTAGTAAAATAAATGGCACTGATTAAAATATCAGTATTATAATTTAAATAAAATCCATAATCAGATTGTGATTTGGGTATTACAGTATCACACATATACACTAAAATGAAGATTAATTGAGAAATATTAAATTTAAGAAAATTTTAAATTATCCTTTTGCACTACTTAAATAATTGAATATTTAGAGATAAAAGTCTAAAAATGTTAAGAGACAATCTTATGCTTTTGTAAACAAATGTAAAATCTTGTAGTATGCAAAGAAACTAGAGATGCTGTCTTCTAATTTCCTGTCATTTGAGGCTGACTTCACATATCAGTTTAGCAAAAGTTGATAAAATATTAAGGGTAAAATAAATGGCAGTTGAGGTGACAGCTACAATTACCGTTCATGCTACTACTGCTACTATTATTACTTTCAGAGTGGTCGTATGCCAGTTACTATCATAAGTATGTACCTGGAGTAACTTGCTTATTCCTCCTAAAGCCTCATAAGTTAATATTAGTAAAGTGAATCTCAGAGCCGGCGGGCAGAGGAGCCAGGCCCCTGAGTGCGTCTCTACACTCTGCACTGCTAGGTGATGGGCAAGACCCGTCCTGTACAAGATGTTCTCAGTTAAAACTTAACCAAGCTTTTTGTCATGTGATTTTATCTACTAATACCACTTTTACATGATGTTTACTTATGCTGTGGTATACAGGTATATATACAAAATATGCACCTCAAATTTTACAGTGATTACTAGAATTCTACCAAAACATATGTATAAAAGATACAGAAAAATCATTTTAGTTTCAAGGAACAGAGCATTAAAATATTTTTAATAATAATAATCACAATTATTATTAAATAATAGAACACAATTTTCCACTCCTATTTTAGCTTTATAAGATTAGGTATTAAACCCAATGTAAGTATTACTCTCTATATAATTTTATCAAATAACTGACAAAGTTTAGTTTTTGTTGTCTTCATTCATATTTATGTATTTGAAATGTTTGATAAGGAGATTCTGACATGAAATATTACCTTAATAAAAATAGTAAGCAGCTTGCAATTAATCACAGTATATAGTGAGTATTCCTTAAATGTCTAATGCAGTGTTAGACATTGACTCAGAAAGTTACAGTGCTGGTGTTACGTGGTAGTTTTAGTGCAACACTTAAAAGATGTGATGACCACTAGGTGGCACCAAACACAACAGATAGAAATATGAAAACATACTTTTCATGTATTTCCTTTATGTGTTCTTCTTTTGCTAGGAGTTCAAGTTTCAGGGACTTCACATTTGATGTCTGTTTAGTGAGTTCATTAGTTGCATTCTAGACCAACAACACACATGAGGTTCAATATAGCATTCAATCTTCAAAACAGTACACATCATTCTCAAGAGTGAAAAATTTCTAATTACGCTAAATAATTAAAATTTCATATTTTTGAAAGCTTTGTATCTTTCCAATAGAAATAATATAATAATACTAAAAGTTTTATGTATCATTCCAGGCCACTGAAAAATGCACTCATGTAATGATTGCAGAGTGTATTTATGGGAAGTATGAATTATTCTAGTAAAATGTAAATGTGTTTGAGTAATTAATAATTTATTAGCTCAATAAAATTACTTAAATATTGGTTTTTCCAGCAATCTTCAAGAGACTAAATGCTGTCACAAAAGACTGGATGCTCCTCCCACAAAGTGGCAGCACCCACTTTGCAGTCCTCTGACCTAGCCTTGCTAGCAAGGTGCCCTGACCAACAGAACGTGGCGGTGATGGCAGTGTGCAGCTCCGAATCCTGCAGGAGGAAGCAGCACTGCCTTCATCGTGGCTCCTGGAACGCTGCCACAGTATCACCTTACAGGAAGACAGCTGAAAGACTACATGAAGGGAAACCAAGGCACCCAACTGACAGCAGACCCCTGCCAGACCTGGAGTGGGGATATCTTGGACATTCAGCCAGGTAAGCCAATCTTAGGTTTAGAAGAGTCAAGACATAGCTGAAATCCAGAGGAGATCAGCGAAAGAACTGTCCAGCCAACTGAATTGGAAGGAAATACTTTGCTGTAACTTTATTATTTTCTTTTTTAAAATATACTTGGTACAGGGTCTCACTACCTTGGCCGCATAGTGATCCTCCTGTTTTCAGTCTCTCCAGAGCTGGGTACAGGCGTGTGCCACCACGCCTGGTCTCTGTGGCCGGCCCAGCGCTCCTGGGGGTCTGGGTGGGCGCAGCCTGTGGTGCCTTGATCTAACCCAGGTCCCTGCCCTTGCCTAAGCAGGTGTTTAATCCACTGAGCTATCTCACCAGCGCTTTGTGATTTTAAACCATAATGTTTTAGGATAGTTTGCTAGAGAATATCTTATGAATATTATGCTCTTTATCCGTAATATCAATTGTTTTCAAGTATTTATACAATAACTTCTAGATTTCTCAAAGCAGAAGAGTTTTGTGGCATTTACTGTCTATGCAGTGCAGGAACAAGAGGCAACTGCAGGGTTAAGACACCACTCAAACTTGACTCAGCTCCAGTCACACATGTAACCTAAGAGATCACTTAACTGTTTTGGCATTTTAGCTTGTAGAATACTGTTTAAATACTAATGTCACTACATTTGCTAAATTTTAAAAGTATTGTGGCCAGGGAGATAGCTCAGTGGCTTAAGCGCCTGCCTGGCAAGCACAAGGGCCCAAGTTTGATCCCTGGTACTGCAAAAAAAAATTTAAAAAATGAAAGTGTTAAGCAATAGAATACAATATAATAGTTCTAAAATATTGGGCTGGCCAAATAGCTCAACAGATTAAAGCACCTGCTTAGGCAGACACAGGGGCCGGGAGCTCGATCCCTGGGCCTGCCTGTGCCGGCCCTGCCCCTGGGGCACTCTTGAGACAGCAATGGAGACTAGGGGTGATGGCACAAGCCTGTAATCCCAGCACTTGGGAGGCTGTAAACAGGTGGATCACTATGAATCCGATCCATGCAGCAAGACACTGGACACCTTGTAGACCCTTCCCTAAATACAGGAAAAAATAAATGAAATATCCGAAGTACTTGTATCAGTAATTTTTCTAAAATATAATCATTTCTATTAGAATTATTCTTAGATTTGAATTCCTGTTAACTCAGAAATATGAGGATGCACAACTATGCTAAGTGATATATTAATGTAGTGGCACTGTATTATAAATATCACTATATGAATATATTCCTGTAATTATGTTATTGCTATGCTATTACATAGTGATACCTTTAGGGACTACTGTGCTATTAGTTATCTACTTATTCCTACTCTAAATGTTCTCAGACTAATTTTGTTTTCTTTAACGTTTTCATGCTTTCTTTTATTCTTCAATCAATTTGCGGTTTTAATTTTTTATCTTGGTCCATATTCTTGCCTAATAGCAGCTATCCTACCCTTTAAAATACACACTAATACACTGCTGATTTCAGGTTTTTTATGCTGAGAAATATTTTATTTACAATAAGTCTTTTTTTAGAATACTGTATTTTATGAAGGTAAAGATACTGTACATCTGACTGCTGAATAATCAAAGCATTATTGAATTATAGTAAGTTTTAAAAAGCCAATTTACTAGTACTTTTGTCATAATCTTTAAACACGACAGCTATTTAATCCTCAAAAGTTCTTCCCAAAATAGTTACAAATGCATGCCCATGTTTATAGCAGCCCAATTCATAATAACTAAATCTTGGAAGTGGCCTTGACAGAGGTCCATCAACAGATGAATGGATTAAAAAAGTGGCATCTCTACATAAGGGAGTACTACTCTGCCATTAAAAGGACAGACTTGAGTCATTTTTGTAAAATGATGTTATTAAGTGAAATAAACGAGACCATCTGGTTAAGTATTGCATGTTTCTCTTACATGAAACTCCTAAAATATCAAGAGCAAAATAAAAGATAATAAGAAACAGATCTTTTGTAAAAGTGAAGGGCCCAGGAGATGAAAAGAAGGAGGAAAGAACACAGGAAAAGGGATTAAAAAAGATGTGACATGTCATGCAGCAACCCTTGGAAGAATGTGACCATTATGTACAGCAAACAAGGACTAATAAAATTTCAAAAATGGAAAATCAAGTTCTTATCAGGTGGGGGAGAAAGGCACCCCTGCTTTTAGACCACAAGGGTGTTCAGATATTTCCTTAAACTGGTCCCACAAGAAGTTATTTTTGTTTTCTTTAACATTTGCACAGTTTTTTGTTTTTTTTTTTTATCAATTTGATGCCTGTAATTTTTTTGCTTTGGTCCATATTCTTTCCTAAAGCAATCATCCTACTCTTTAATCTGTACACTAAAAAAAATGATCAAACCCATTATTTTATCATTTCCTGTTCCATTTCCTAATAGCATGACTAAAATCTAGTTTAAAACATGCATATCAAAATGTCACAATGTTAAGTTTCCATCCATGTCAGAGCTTTCTTATGCAAATTTTACTGGATTTTTTTTTTAAAGTTTTCATAGTGTGATGATTAACACATAGACTCCGGAGCCAGATTGGCTTAAGTTTTATTCTCAGCTCTACCACTAGTGGCTATGCTGTGTAACCTTGGACAATTAATTTATTTTCTGTCTGTATCTCAACTGTACAACAGGTCATAAATGAACATATCTTACTGGGTAGAGATGGCAACTAATATTTGTTAACCACTTCAAATCAGCCTAACAATAGATTATATTTTTAAAAGTATTTTTCACTACTACTAATTTACTGGCAAAATGTAAGAGAACATAATAAATACATATAACATCCTCTTTAAGAGTTGAGAAGTAAAAAAACACAACACAAACTTAAGTATTATTTAACCCATGTAAAAAGCTAAAAAGTGTTGTATAGGGCATTCATTGGAAGGAATTATTATAATCACTAATATTTTATTGTCTAGCTATATAAAGGTGCATACCTTGAGGAAATATTTCATTTGGGTAACATAAAGATACAGAAAATGAAAAAAAAAAGATACAGAAAATGTACATGAGCACTTTCATGTCACCAAATGAACCTGGGGCATTTGAAAGGTACACGCCAGAAATTACACAGAAAAAGGGCCAGCGAGAGAGCTCAGTGGTCTAAAGCACCTGCTTAGGCAAGCATAGGGACCGGATATTCGATCCTTGGCACCACATGCCGTGCCGGCCCCACCCTCAGGTGCGCTGAGCTGGCCACCGAGTTGGGCATGGTTGGTAGCACATCCCTGTAATCCCTGCCCTGGGGAGGCCGAAAACAGGAGGATCACTGTGAGTCTGAGCTGAGACCCTGTACCAAATACATGAGACAGAGAGAGAGAGAGAGAGAGAGAGAGAGAGAGAGAGAGAGAGAGAGGAAAGGAAGAAAGAAAAGAAGGAAGAAATGACATTAATTATGTAAAATGAAAAAGATGCATGCAGATCATTAATAGAGTTAAATCTAACCAACTGTCTCATTGAATAAGTTAAAAAATAAGTTATCTTTTAGATAATTAGTTACATTTTAGATAACTGTATTAGTTTGCTGTCTCTTATAGGCTGAACTGTGTTGCCCTAAAATGCACACATGCTAAAGCCCTCCCCTAACCCAGTATTCAGAATGTGCCTACATTTAAGTAATAATTAAGGGACAATGATGCTTTAGGATGGTCTCAAAGACTATGACTGGTGATTTTGTAAGAAGAAGAAATGAAGATGCTGAGTACACTGAGGACAGACTATGAATTTGCGGTAAGACAGCCAACTACCAGTCAAGAGGTCTCAGGGGGAAACAAAACAACTGTGAACACTTTGTCTTAGGCTCTCAGCTTCCAGAATTATTAGAAAATAAATGTTTTTGCTTTAAACCATCCTGTCTGGTATCTTGTTATGACAGATGTAGTAAACTAATACAATGCTGAAATGAATTTTCAGTAGCATAGTATTATGTACTTAAATTTATTTTAGAAAATTTCTATATTAAAACAGATAAAAAGATAAAAGTAAATATTTATCCTTTCAGTCTCTGTGTAGCCTTGTCAGTGTTCCCAGAGACTCGGTTAGATATGTAAATTAAACTGAATTGCTTTAGGCTTGTGTTTCCCTTTTCTGGCTCACACTTGTCCAAAGCAAGATAGATAGATAGATAGATAGATAGATAGATAGATAGATAGATAGATAGATGCAGGTAAAGATATATACATGGAAAATGTTTTATTGCATAGAATTTACAGATACTCATATGAATCTATTGTTAGCCAAAACTGCTAGATCATTTTTAAAAGTTTAAATTTCTGTTACTCCATTTACAGTCAACAAATCAAATCACTAAAAAATAAATCAATTTAAAGTAACTAACAACTTAAATTTAGAAGTCAGATCATTTTGGATCAAGTATTGTCTTATCTATGTGAAATTTTTTTATTGGAATCATGAAGACTTAAAATAACCACAGAACTGAACTGCAATCTGTGTAGTAAATCAGATTAGATAATATCAAAGAAAATCTTAATGATTTTACCTTCCTTTATATGAAATCTAAACACTAAGTGATCAATTTGTATATTCCATGCACCTTCTCAGAGAGAGAACCATCTTTCAAGAGCAGATACCTGCTCCAACATTTGTACAATTATTTTCTAACATTTCTAACATAAGAGCTTAGATTTATAAAATGGTAAGGCAAGTTTTACATGTAAAAATTATCTGGTGATATTTAAGAGGCATCTGTATCAATGCCAGTTTTATAACTATTATTAACAAAGCAAAATAGTTTCAAGCGATGATACACTCACTTCTTTTAAATTTCATCCTATTTTATTGTACTAATAATTCCACACTAAAAAATACTTTGGACTGAAAACAACTAAAAGTCTATTTGACAATTTAGTATTCCAATAAGCTTTTAACAGTCATACCTACTCCATTTTAATGTACTCTGTGCATTTACAATCAATTTTTCTTTCTGATGACACTAATTATGTTCCTATATCCAGTGCCTTTATTCTTCTATCAATCCCTCAAACGAAGAAAAATATATAAAAAATAAACAAGTTTGCCTTAAGGACTCAGAATGAAATTTCCAATTAAAACTCACAGATCCTGTTTCTTATAACGTAATCCTGTTTGCACTAAGGTCAGCCTCACTTTCAAGCTGTTGTGTTTCACCTAGACTTACTTATTCTTTATAAACAAAAAGAATACTATATTTTCACCCTGCTCTCAGTTTAACTTACTGAAATCTATTAAACTGATCTATCTTTGATTTCTGCTTCTCCTCCCTCCACTCACTTCCCTTCTCCTCTCCCATCTCCAACTAACAACAAAATAAAAGGATTAGCCACTGCCCAGAGGAGAGGAGTTCTACTCTTGCTGATACTTCAGGCTGGAAAGGGCTCTGTTTAGTTGAGCGAGGCACAAGAAACAGAGAGGAGTCCCACGCTGGAGTAGGAGACACTGGGCAACCACCATTAGCTCCTAACTTAAGCTTCCATTGTGTGTCTGGTTATTTACTTTTCAGAGAATTGTGCTAGAATTACCAGATAAGAATCTACCAGGTTAAAATTAAATAATGACATCAAAGTAGTTCTAATTTTGAAATTATTTTTACCAATTTAACTTTATTAGAATAAATTAGAGTTGATAGAAACATGTCTTTGAGGATGCAATATTTTAATACATGTTCTCATGTTTAATAAACTTTATGATCACCTTTAGTTTACACTGTAATTGCTTCATCTCTAAATCCACGTTCCTTGAGGAGCCCAGTGATGTAACTGATACATGTGGAGCTGCTACCCTGGCAATTTCTCCTGCCAAACTTGTGATTTCAGATGAAGACTCCAATTTTTTTAGTAGATCTTCATTTTCTTTCTGAAGCCCAGCCAAATCCAGATTTAGTTTCTTAAGAAAAGAAAGCAAATGTCAGACTAACTACAGTTAATCTAACAATGGTCAGCATAAAATTCTATGGGTAGGAAAATATGAGCATGAGAATTAATTATAAAAGTAAATTATAAAAGTAAATTATTATGAAAACTTAAAAAAAATCCCTATCTTTTCTACTAGCTTCTATTTTATAGGGCCTGTAAAGTTCAAACAAAATTAACCAGATACTGTACTCAGTATCTTTAGGTCTTCATGCATAAGGAAATATTCCTTCCTCTTCACATATATACGAGTGAGCCAGAGATTCACAGATTTGATATCTCTGACTTCAGGTCTGATGCGCTTAACTTGGTAAAAGCCAAGCTGGAGCAGGACAAGATAACAGATGTTAGTTGTTTATTCCACTGGGTAGGTCTTACTACTGTATACAGAAGCCAAAATACTTCTCATTTAGCAACATAAATGTTAGTCCAGTTAACAGATGAGGTCTGTTAGGGATTTAGTTCAAATAAATTGCATGCAAAAGACTTACTCAATTATATGTACTTGATTGATGGTTGACAAGTGTTGCCGATAATGTGGAGGTAAAACTGCACTAAATTCCTAACATTTGAATTTTTAATAATATGCATATTTTGCTAAATGACATTCTACTAAAGCTTTCATGAAGGAGTGTAAAAGAAACCATCTTAACGAGAGCCATGACCCTTTACCTAGTCAACAGAATGTCACCCAGTTGCAACCACACAACTCAGCACTTACGAGGGAAAATGCATTATTTTTATTCAAAAGACACTTACGATGTGGTAATCTTACATAAGGAACCATTAGACACAATGACACTTAAATTTCTCAGAAGGAAAAAAAAATCTTTGTTATGAATTACTATTAGGTACAGCAAAAGTTGTACCTAAAGCTTTATTTAGGTATTAACATTATGTTTCAACATAACTCTAGAAACTCATCCAATAAAAATACAATTATAAGACTGGGCATGGTGGCACATGCCTGTAACTCAAGCTTTTGGGAGGTTGAAAACAAGAGAATCACTACAAGTCTGATATGTAGTGAGACCCTGTAGGCTCTGTCTTAAATACATAATAAAAAACAATTACATTTACATGTTTCTTTATATGCATATGTTAAATATGAACATTTCAACCCATGAATTCAAAACTAGGGCTATTGATATATTTGAAATGTGTGTATTTTGATGCAAAAACTATTTATTTGACTATATTTTATGTTCTAGAAGTATAGACTTAAAGACTTTACAAAACATTTATTCATGAATGATCTCAAGTATGCCAAACAATATTTGAGAATGAATTCATAATTTCCTTAAACATAAAACTCTTCCTGGTCATCATCCAAGTCTGAATCCACCTCCTCTGTTCACTTACCCATACGTTTAGTCAGTGGTCAGGTTCTACACTTCGTGTTTCGCCCTTCTCATAATGTGCACCCTCTTCATCTCACTAATACTACTGCAAGAACCTTCCTTCTCCCCACACCTTTTCTCATCTCCACACTGCTTTTTACACAACTTTCTCAAAAAGCATTGACCTGTAGTTCCCCTATTCAAAGCCCTTCATGAGTACTTCAACCTAACAATAAAGCTTAAATGTCAGTGGGTATTACAGCTTTTTACAACACTCCTTTTCCTGTCTCCTGCCTTCATTCACCACCCCCTTCATTTTTTAAACTATCATCTACCCTAAAGACAGCATGGCAGCAACTGGCATGTCATAACAAGCAGCATGTATCAGGAGTGTTGCGCAACTGTCCTGCAACAATTTTGTACATGGTTAGATTTCTGGACTTAAGTGTAAACATATATAATTCTTTATTCCTATTTTAAAATATATCTTAATTTAAAAATTTTTTGTCATATTCTGTAGGGACTTAAAGTTTAACACATCAATACTTTACAAAAAATACCTATTCCATGTTATGCCTGAGATGTTTGATATTCAGACAGATAGTGAGGTTAAGCTTAACAGCCTAGGTTGTATGGTAATAACAATAAGCTTGTCTTCTGGATAGTTAACAACCTAAGTTTACAGACCAAAATTAGAGAAAAAGGAGGGCTGCAAGGAAAGCCAACATTTTGGCCCTAGCCTTCCAAGGTCAATTAAGACTCAGGTCATATGAGAACTTGTACTGTAACATCATGTAACTCAGTTGTGTCCTAAATTTTCTGATCAGACAAATTTTTCAGTCAGACATCACCTAGTATGAAACTTGTCTGCCAACCCCAAATCTGCCTGCCATTTTCCCATCAATGAAGCTACACTTAATGTCTCCTCCATCTGAAGCCTAGTTCAGGCTGGACTCGAACACACAGTAATCCTGCTGCTTCAGCCTCTGCAGTGGTGCCACAATACATATCTATCTCATCTTCAAAAAAGCAACTCAGTATTTCCTTCTTCACACCTTTTTCTTCTTTTCTGCTTTTCCTCTTCTTCAGCAAAATACCTTTTCCATTCTCCTTAGCAAAGATAGACATATGGTGTTCCTTACCCATAAGCCTTGTTTAATTTAAATCCTTGAGAGAGGATGATATTTTTGCTCCCTAATATGCTTACCACAGTACAGTATCTGAAAACAATTGTCTTATATATAAAAACCAAAACAAAGAATTAAAATCAATTTTTAGTACATTTGGTGCTATACACACAACAAATGCAATTTTTAGTCACAATCTATTAATTTATTACTATATAAATTAAATGAATTTTATTAATAATATAGTATTAGGTAAGCTTTTGCTTGGAAACATTTACCAATGCATATCTCAATTTTGACATTAACATTCTGTATCTATATTAGACTTTGTGAAATTTCAACTTTGTAAGAAATAACTCATAGCTATAATCATAGGTAGAGCCCTCAGCAACATAGGAGAATAAACTTTGATGAGGTTCATTTTTTTCCTTATAAATATCACCAAGTGGCTTCTCTTGTACTTGTATGCCACTATATCACTGCCATTAAAAAATATTTTAATAAATATTTAATAATGTGAAATACTAAATAAATTTTAGTTTAGTTTTTGATACAGTGTCTCGCTATGCAGTTCAGCCTCATAGTAATCCTCCTGTCTCAGTCTCCCCAGCGCTGGGATTATGGGCATGTGCCACATACCCAGTTCCAGGCTGGCATAGCATGGGGTACTAGGGGACATATTCTGGTCCTTGAGCTTGTCAGGCAGGCACTCAGACTGAAGAGCTATCACCCCAGCCCTATTTCTGCCAGTTTTATCCATACTGGCAGATCCCAAAATTATACTTATGTCCTTACTAAGGAAAAACCAAGCCAATAAAAATAGTTTTCTAAAAAGTATGTACATATAAATTTCAACTTCAATGTAGTAATATGAAAGTATAAATAAATACTGAAAGTATAAATCACTTGAAATTTTGACAAGATAAGTAGTATTTTGATTACTTTTAAATCTATAATCTCAAAAACATTTCTAATACTACACACACATATATTATTATACACTATATACTACTATATATTATTATACTCCATAATGTTATATACATATATAGGAATGCTGCAGAGTACCTGTTAAGTAGTGGGATATATAAGTAATTTATTCCATTAGCTTGAAATCTTTTGCTTATTCCTTGGATTGCTGAACTAATAGCTTAGCTTCCATTACTGACTCTTCTCAGCTTAAGGTCTTTTCTCTTGTTCTATCAGTTTTTCCCGCTCTTTCCCTCAGCCCCACCTTTTTCCCTTCTTTCCTGTTTTGCCTCCTTCTTTTTCTTCCTCTCTCCATCCCTCCTCCTGTCTTTGTTACTAGGAGATGAACCCAGAGCAAGAGCAAGAGCACCATCCCTTGTCTCAGAAGAGCCAGGCACGGCACCTGAAGTATGATTTTCACTTGTTCGCATATGGTCTGGGCTACTGCTGTGAGGACCTGTCTGATAAAACTGTGCTCCAAAATCTGCTAGTCAATTAGGGTTACTCTTAAAATTGTTAATATTTTTCTTTTTTGTTCAGGAGTACGGTTCCTATTTCTCTATTATTATCTATCTTTAAATATTT